TTAGGGTATTTTATTGTTTTATCATACTTTATCACGTGCTTAGCGGCTTGCAGGGATGTCTGGGGGATGTCAGCCCAATTCACAGGGACCTCAGTGGGTTGTTAAAACCTGGTTAAAAAAAGAAAAGGAACAGAAGAGCTTTCACACTGCAGTTTCTGCTTCTCTCTTTTCTTACAGACCTTTTGTAGATGGCTTTACTGATGTGTTTTAAGTCATCCCCACCCCTCTGTGTAAGGGCATCACTGGTATCCTTTTACAGCTGGGTAAACTGAGACACAGGGTGGGAATGTGGATGGACATAATGACAGCAGAGATGAAAAATATTCCCATGTTCCCCAATCCTTTATTAATTTTGTGACCTCAAAAGTGTTCCTGCTGTTTTCTGCTAGTAAAATGGGATGTAGACCCACGGCGTGACTCCTAGTGCCCTCTCCCCTTGCTCAATGAGAAATACACTTGAAAATATTAAATTGATTTCAACGGAGAATATCCCAGAGGTCAGGAGTAATTACTCAGCCACTCCAGCTCTCTAAAAAGCACACTTCAAGAATCTGAACCAGGGACGAAATTTAACAGCCAAGTTGTAAAACCTCATTAAAAAAAAAACAACCCCCCAAACCCCCAGAAAACCCACAAGCTGCAGAATATTTTGGGAACGCTGATCTATCTCTGGCTGCAGAAGACCACACAGAAGACCATGAATGGCCTCCCTGCCCTGCATGCACTCCTGGCATAAGAAAACCACTCATCGTGGTTCACTAAGTCACCTTTTATAATAGCTGTGGTTTACATTTATTTGGTGCTGATGCAAAATGCAGAAAAAACCCAAATCCTAACAAAAAGGCCACCTTTCCCTGGGCAAATCCACCCATTTTCTAGCCACAACTGATTTAGGGATTGCTCCCAGGTTTCCCCCAACATGATGTCCACCTTCTCTTTAAATTTGACTTCAGACATCCATAATGAAATCTGCTCCGACACAAGGGTGAGGGGGGATTTTACAGATTTCCAACCTTTTTTTTTCCATTCCTTCCCTCAAATCCCAGATTCTACCAGAAATTTTGGGCCTGACTGTCTTACACTGCGGAGAAATGAGTTCTCTACGAAATGGCTGTCATGGCTTGGACAAGGAGATGCTCCACACACGGTGATTTTTCACCAACTTCTGAATCGTGTCAAGATACAAAATCGATCTGTCTGCCGCTTGTTCACTGCTGCTACATTTTTTTTCCTGGCGTTACTGCAAACTTCACCCGATGCAGAAAAAGTACATTAATAAAAGCCAAAGAGTGTGGCTCGACTCTGCTATTTGGTTTGTGCTAAACACAGAAAGGATCAATATTTAACATTGACATTAATGGTGGGGGATGAGAGCTTAAAATTCTGATTCCTGTCTTTTTTGCATGGGCATTAAAGATCCCTCGGTGCTTTTCATGGGAGTAAATGGCCATCTCGGTGTCCTTGGACAAAACAGTGCCTTGACCCTCATTCTTATTAAATATTTATCCTGCAGCAGTGCAGACTGATCCACATTGGAAAAGGAGTCTTGAGAGCTCTGTGAGTCCCAAATCTTAGCCCCAAATCAAGTGCTTTGACATCAGCCAGCATGGTAGAGCCCATACCCATGTTGCTATCAAAAACAAGGGGGCTGCACCCAAAGTGCCTCTGAGGAACAGCCCCCCTATCTTGCTGCCTCCTGAATCATGGCCAGGAATTGCCCATGACATTGGGTTTTGGCCAAGACTCCTCCAAGGATGGTGTGAAGATAGCAGGTTAGTGTTGTGTCCCCATCCCAGCTTGAAGGTCACCTCTGGGGACAACTGTGAACTGTGCTGGGTTGGGGTCCCTCTGCCCTGAGCAGTCCTTCAACACTATCCCTGCAGGCTCTGCACTTGCCATTGCATGGAAAAGCCATGGCAGGCCAAAATACACCCAGGAATCAGAAATTACATCGATTTATTTGTGCCAACACAGCCTAAGGGGAGAGATGGGGCTGCACAGAGGAGATGGTCCTCGGCATCACCCCAGAGCACAGCAAATTCAAATCACAACACTTTGAGGAGCCCAGGGAATCCCTCACTGGCAGGAGACCCTAATCTTTTCCCAAAAATGAGTCTGATTTGGGGAAACTGGAGAGCACAGTGCAAAAGATGTGCTCATTGAAAGCAGGATTAATTACTCCGTGGTTACTCCAACCACATAAAAGAAAACGGGGGACAAAGGGGAGCAGGCAGCAACACTCAGTAAAAGCACGTCGCTTCCCTGGGGGAATCTGCTCTATCGGTGTCTGCATTGATTTTCAAAATGAATTCCCAGCTCACTTCCCACAGCGACCCGGCCACCGAGAGCATTAGAGGGAGCCAATTCAGGGCTCATGTACTCCATTAGGTCTGCGAGATGAACTCCGTAATAGCAGGTGAGAGATGGATTGCTTCGCAGGGCTGGGAGGGTATTGCAAGGGCTGGGAAGATAAATCCTGCGGCTGCAGAAGGGGACAGCCAAGATTGGTCTGTATTTTTTATGTTGTGGGTTTTTTTTTGCACTAGAAAAAAGGGCATCTCATGCACCCAGGTCACATGCTGATGATGGGTCCTCCTGGGGGACAGAAAAGGAGGCAAGGAAGGAAATCAAGCCAGAAAAATAGTATTTGATGACTAGTACATGCTAAAGGGAAAAGTCAAGACATTTGTCCTCCTCTGAAACAGAGAGATGCCCCCAAGAGGGTAAAGCATATAAGGTGAATTACGAGCCAGAGGTCCCAAAGCCATTTCAACTTGCTATGCTGCAGTGCCTAGCTCCCAAGTGATGAGGACCAACACTTCTTTCCTGTGTTCAGGCAGGGCACTTAGTGAATAATCTCCAGGGGTCCCATCTGGGTTTTGGTCCCACCCACATCATGACCAAAGATGCTCAACTCACTCTGACCAAAAGCCAAAAAGAATGATGCTTCTCCATCCCTCATGGTTATCTGTCTTGGGGCCATGGATAAACCCGTGGCCCTCCTTTATTTAACAGCATAGATGTAGCCTTCAAATCCCTTGGCTTTATGTTGAGATCTTGAGTTTATGTTGAGGGAATGTATCAAATAGAGCCAAGAAGGGATAAGATCCTGTTCCAGTTTCTATTGCTATTCCCAGGGGGGCAGAGTTAAGGTTATGTAGCAGGGCCATGTGGGAAGTGTCATCTTAACCCCACGTTTCCTGGCCGGTTCTCCTCCGAGTTCAGGGAATTGGACTCTCACGCTCTGGAAAAGGAGGCGTTGGACGCCCACAACTTAAAATTCGATGTCAGTAGCATGACTTGCATGCATACATCTTGCTGGGCTTGTGCTACAGCTGTGGTGCTGGTCCCTGCGAGAAAGCAAGCCAGAGGCTCGAAGGGGATGAGCCAGCACAGCCCTGCAAAACCCAATGGTGCCAGGCAGGTTTTGGTAGGCTGAAGGCTCAGCATTCACTAGTCCAGGTTAAGATGTGCCTTTTGGGCCATGTCTTGCAGAAACGTGGGACAAAAACCTCCTTGTGACTCCATCCTCGAAGCAAAAACACACAACTGTGTGCACGATCGGCAATGGGATGGACTAGGTTGGGAGCCAGGAACTTTTTATGAATGTTTTCAATCCCCCAAAGCAGTATTTCCCTCCTTGCTGACAGGTCTAAATTCCCTTGCTCAGAGCACTCGACTACTGCTCTGTGCACAGAGCTTCACACAATGTTCCTGGACTTATCGGAGCAAAATAATTACTCAGCCTCCTTCGGAAATTGTTGCTCAGAATGGCGATTTTCACCGGAGCCGCGATGTCAACTTTCCCTGCCTGAAGGCAGAGGCTGGGGCTACAACTCCCTGTATCCCATGGATTTGAAATGATGCCCCGGGGAAGGTGGCAATTTTTGGGTGTAGTTAATTCCTGCGTTCCCATCGATGTTTGCAACAAAGGTGCCAGGTTTGCTTGGCACCCCTGAGTGGCACAAAATTCCCCATGATGACCACACCATGCTGACAAGGGTGAGCTAGTCCAAGGGGCCTCGCAGATAAGGGTTCCTCGGATCTGTCCTGGCAAATAAGGCCATGAAATGCCTCGGACCATGCTGCTGACTTCATGCCAGTTAAAACTTATGAGCAATGAGATTTTTTTTCAGGAGGGAATAGTAGAAATCTACTAGAAATAATCCCTACGAGGGCATGTGCTATCGTCTGCCCCACTCTTTGGAGCAGTTCTGTCATTTATTAGCAAAAAAAGGGGGAACCTTCTCCCATGGGAATCTGTCTGCACCTCTGCTTTTGCTGCCAGCTCACTCCTCGAGCACACAAAAAAAATAATTAAAAAAGACAAACAACCCTACCAAAACAAGCCCTCTGCGTGCTTCTCCTGGCAGGGAGAGAACAAACATGTCCGATGGATTAGTCACCACGGCACTGGGCTGCCAAGAGACCCTGGGATGCCATGAGGATGAGCATGGCACCCGAGGAAGGTTTATTTACCAAGCTTTCCCTATCGCCTCCGAGTTGGATGGCATTTGGAAAAGCTGTTGTCAATCTGAGGATGCCTTGGCACATCACCCGCTAAAGGTTTTCTCTGGCAGGTTAGTGAGAAAGAGCGTCTGATCTGGATAAATTCCCCTCTCCAGTTTCCATCAGGGTGAGGAGCTGTGTGCAAGGACACAGGTATCCTAATATTTGGTGTTGCCTAAATTTTGGGTGCCAAGCAGGGGAAGTGGATCTCATCCTGCATCCTCCACTGCAGAGGAGCTGAAGGATGGGGACAAAAGTGACATCGGGCTT